ATATAAGGTACAACAGCAATTAAAAATTTTGTAGTGTCAGCTAATTCTTTATACTCACTGTTTATTTGTGTCCAAAATGTTTTATGGACTCCAGCACATACTCTCAATCAATGCTTGAAATAAATCAATAAGAACGAAAATCGATGTATATTGTAAAACATTAAGTGACCTTTCACTTGAATGAGGGATCTTACATAGAGTATATTCAGAATAACACATCAAGGTGATGTTTGATCAAGCATAAGTTTTGCTGTCAGATTCTCACTAGTAGGACTCAAATGAATGGACCCTAGATACAGTAGCAATGGAAGATGATTCTAGTTTCTGAAAAGCTGAAGAAAAACATATCTTTTACCTTACTTTAAGTCTTTAACCACTGTTTTAGTCTGCTCAATCTGACTCTGATGGCATTGTTCACAAATATTCAAAATAAAGAACTCAAACAGTTTTAGAAACATCCATTGTGTTTCCATAAGAAGCAAATACCTACATGAGTTTTGGTTTATCTATGATGAAAGATAATAGCATCAATTTTAACCAATCAATATCTTCCAATTTAGAAAATAGCAATTTTATTGCTGCTCACCATAAACTCAAAATTCTACTATGTTTATATTTCACCAGGCTGTCCAAAATATTACACTACAACACACATAGGTCATTGGTTACATTAGTCAGCTACTGCAGAGAATTGTTAGGTAACATTGACACATTGTGCTAAGCCATGATTAGTACACTGTTTAAAGGCCGAATTATAATTGGCTAAAATTAGTTCTATTTGCTTCAATGGACTAGCAGAATCAAATTTGAGAGGCTGATTCTAAAGAAATGATAATAAGGATTAAGTAATTACCATAGGCTTATCATAGAATGGGAATCCCTGCATTTGACGAAGTGCATTGGTAGCAGATGAGACATCCTCAAAGATAACCCAGGCTTGACCTTTGTGTTTTAGGGTTTTGAACGCTAAAACCTCCAAAATCTTCCCGAACTGCGAGAACACGGCGTTTAGCGACTTCTTCAACTCTACAACAGCCAGCAATAATCTATTACCAATCAAATACGTATTCACATTGCAAAATCTCGTATACATAAGCAATAGTTGCTAATAAGGAGCACAGCTGCGGCGAAGCAGAGAGGGGAATACCGTCGAGCTTGATTTTCTCGTTGAGATTGTTAATGTAAATTGTCATGTTTGCGGGAATCTCGCCGCTGGCTTGGTTCGCCTCCGCCATAACTGGATTGTTATTTGCTTTGCTGCTATCCCTTCCGTGTCGAGGGTTCCAGGCTTCCAGCCAAGTTAGAAGTTAGAATAGTGTTCCAAGTTCGTACTAGAGAGCTCAACTGCTACAATTTCTTTGAACAAGCAGAGGTTCACATTCACGCTCTGGTGGTGGTAGGCCAAAAAATAAGGCCCAATTAATATAGTCTAGCCCAATTGTAGCGGTAAACTAAAATATTTATGTAGTAGCTTTGGCCCAAAACGATGGCAAGGGGCGAATTATGCTGTGCATCCGTATGCACCATGGTGCATACGGATGCAAAAACAACGTCGTTTTAATAAAACGCGCGTCTCCCCTTAAAAAAAAAAAAGCAGGTTCGATTCCCAGCAACAACATATGAACTATAATTCCAGAATCTAATTTATGAACTAAAAATTCCAGAATGAATGAACTAAAATTCCAAAATCTATGAACTAAAATTTCAGAATCGATGAATTACAATTCCATAATCGATGAACTATAATTCCAGAATCAATAAACTATAATTTCATAATCTATGAACTAAAATTCCATAATGAATGAACAACATAATGCTGTTGCTAGGAATCGAACCTGAATTTTTTTTTAAAGGGGAGACGCTCGTTTTTAATAAAACGACGTCGTTTTTGCATCCGTATGCACCATGCATGATGCATACAGATGCACAGCATAACTATTCGCAAGGGGTAATCGCTACATGCTGCACACGGTTGCAAAAACGAAGTCATTTTGATTAAAAATGCGCGTTTCACTTTACAAAAAAAAATTCAGGTTCGATTCCTGGTAATAGCATTTTTTTTTTTTTGCATAATTTGAATTATATATCCACAAATTCATAACTATATATCCACAAGTTCATAACTATATATCCACAGTGAATGAATAACACAAAATCTAGAATGAATGAACTAAACATCCACAATGAATGAACTAAATATCCACAATGAATGAACTAAATACCAATAAATTCATAACTATATATCCATAAATTCATAACTATATATCCACAATAATTCATAACTATATATCCACAATAATGTTGTTGAGGGGAATCGAAATTGATTTTTTTTTTTAATGGGACGCGCGTTTTTAGTCAAAACAACGTCGCCATGCATGGTGCACACGGTTGCACAGCATAACTATTGCAATCGTTATATTGTGCGCCCTACCCAAAATGATGTCGTTTTTTATGTTAAGAGTTTATGTGTATTATGTTAAATTATGTATATTTTGTTATGAGTTTATGTACATCCGAAACAAAAGATTTTTTTTATAGAAGTTAAGGGCAGAAACGGGAGACGGAATTTCTAAAAAAAAAAAAAAAAAAAGATACAAAACGACGTCGTTTTGGCCCTAGTGCACAATATAATTTGCCATTGGGGTCCATCAAACCCGCAAATTAAATTGTGGGCCAAGGTCCACCTTATATGGTGGAGTTTGATCCAAAACGGCGTCATTTATATTAAGTGTCAGTTAGTGTATCATGTTTAATAATATAATATTGTACTATGTTCAAAATATTTGTTTTATATGTTCATAAACATAAACCTTAACATACATAAATATTAAATTGAATGTACATTATATGTATTTTCATTCGTTATATAGTAGGTTCATAATATTCATAAAAATAAAGATTAATGTACATAAACATTACATTACGTATACATCATGTTTAATAACATTTATCACGTACGAAATACTATGTTATAATATTTGTTTTATATGATCATAAATCTAAACCCCAACATACATAACACATGATTTTTGGTCTATCTATTGCAATTTTTACAAATGAGGAAATTTGGTACTTTCTAGTTATATACGCTATTGTTGCACTAAGCGGTACTGGAAGTTGTTCCCCGGTGCTGTGAAAATCCATCATTCTCGTAGTTAATTGTAGGTAATATGTGCAATCACACATTATATTTGATGGATTATATGAACCCGGAGGTCCGGATTATACAACCCGAATATATGATCGAATATAATAAATAAATAATAAAACGATAATAGGGGTAGAAATAATGTACGAATAAGCGTCACGAGGACGAATATTGCATTAATTGGATGTATAATGCTATTACAGGGGTTCAGGACGTGTAACAACAAGACAATTATAGTAAGGAGGTAGAAGATGCTTGAATAGGACACCGGGGAGTGCTTTTATACTCTCCGACCGCTACTGGTCCGGGGTACGCGGGAGGAGCTGTGGTCCGCGCCGCAAGATTCGCTCCACGCGAAGACCCGGCCCTTAGCCGAGCACGGAGCTTGGCCAAGCCCATGGGGCCGAGGCCGAGTCCACGGAGGCCGGCGAGCCGGCCTTGCGTTGGCCCAAGGGACAACCAGGGTAGTTGCCCGACCCCATGGGTGATTTGCAATGCTTCGCGGGTTGTTGATGCTGGATTTGACCCACTCCATATTGTTTCGCTCCAAACCCGCTCCGTGATTATTCCATCAATATTAATTAATGTACTCTCTCCTAATTGTGTTTTTCACTTTGTGCCATTTTATTTTAATTTTCTCATTGTAGTAGCCCAACTCTACATAAATGGTGGTAGTTGAAATAACAATATAATTGTCATAGATCTATTATCTATAGCTCTTCCTATGTCACGGATTATATTATTGAACAACTTTTTTCAGTCTAATTTAAATTCAATGATTAACTATATATAGGTGGCAATTATTTTTGGTCTTTGGTGCAACAAATTTATTACACATTACACAATTTAATTGTTACTATTTTGTAATTGATGGGTATAATTAGTTAATTATTGTATTTGAAGGTATTTACAACAAGATTCTAAATTCAATTTTTTACGAGATGATGAGAGTTATATATTAGCTTTCTTGGTTTGAATTGATTAGTTGAGGATAATTTAAGCTAGTTTACATCATATTGATTTTACCCAAAGCGCACTTTGTAAATCAAATATATTGACCATTGTCCATAAAATGTGATATACAGATTTACTATTTGACTGTATTCCATTATTGTAATTATTTTATTGCTATTTTTTTTTTTTGAAGAGTAATTATTTTATTGTTGTATATAGTGATTTTTCATTTTCTATAACATTATATCTGTTTTCAAAGGATTTTAATTTTGGCAATCAATATAAATTTGCCTGGCTACTATATTATATGAGATTATGATTGACCAGATTACCTTATTTGTTTGTTTGTGTTTTTTTTTTTGTTTAATTAGTAATTATTATTATTATAGTTATTGAAGTTTTTACTATTAATTATTTATTTATAGAATAGAATTTAAGCTTTGTAAACGATTTTTTTCCAAAAAAGGCTGCATTCTTTCCATAATTATCAGTATTATAGATAAGCACCATGAGTCATCTACAAATATATTATCAATCATTTCGAAATACACTGTGGTAATTACAAAAATATTACAATGTATTTTTCTATAAATTTTTGCCCTTAATCAATCCAAATGAGTGCATGAGATTAAATAGGGTGAAATTGACGACTCCTTAATCATACATTTAAATTGATTTTTTAAACAAATTAAACAATTAATAATAATCAAATAAATCAAAATTAGTTGATAGATTAACTATTTTACTAATCAAGGCCAGAGGTAAACTGATATATTTAATGCATTAAGTTTTCCAAAGTAAAAAAAGTGAAGAAAAAAGAATGTATAAACAAAAGAAAATCAAAGGCTCTACCCACACGCTTTCTTCGTCACGGACATAAATACCCCACCCAAGTCACGTCCCCCAGAGGCTTTATTTAAGTGCTTCCCGGCCTTCAGCGTTTGAGCTTCCAACCCCGCCGGCCGGCCGCCCATTCCGCCGTAGTGGCATTTCCAGTCCCCTTTAATTTGCTCCTTTTCCTAAGCTACCAAAATATATGGCTGCAGTTGTATATCAAGAGGTTGGTTGGTAATTTTCACTGCTTTTCCTGCATTCTTCTTTTCAAAGTTTCCCCTTTTTCTCTTACTTGGTAGCTATTTATGATGAGAAGAAATAAAGTGAAATGATTCGAAATCAATATTTCTGAAATTATGGTCAGGAATATATAAGGAATTCAAGAGGAGTGAAGCTCTTTACTTGCAGATGGCTGCCCTTGTCTTCTCCCAAGGCCATTGTTTTCCTCTGTCATGGTCTCTACTCTCTCTCTCTCTCTTCTCCCCTTTATTTTTCTTTATTAGGAAACATGCATTTTTTTTTTTTTTTTAGATCTGGGTCATCCTTTTGAACAGATAGTATAATGTAATAGAGTTAGTAGCATTCAAAAAGATCTGGGTCCTCCTTTAAAATTTGCCTTTTGTTAAAAATAAAATAAAAATTAGCTGGAACTTAGGATAATTGGTTCATCGCAGCTTGATGTAAAAGTTATGACTGAAGACGTCAATTTGAGGTGTCAGATGGTTTGGGTTGATCCCTTATGCGCAAGAGTTTTACTGTATGTACTCTTAAATTCTAATCCATCACTTTTATTTCATGATGTGTCAAATAAGGATAGAGTATTTTCATTATGTGGGTCTCAGGAAAAGTACCTACATCAAAGATTTGACAGAGTAAATAGAAGTTGGGAGTAAATGTAATATTTTCTTATGCGCAAATATAATTGGGGACTCGCGATTTACTTTCGTAATGACTCTAGAGTAAGGTCGTATGGGCCAACCAAATAAAAAAAAGGAGTTGCATATTCAACCTTGTAGTATGCTTGAATAACAATACAATATAGTTCTTAATTCTTTAGTATGAGTATGGGGTCTCAAATTTTCTCATCATGTTATAGTTTATGCTGGTACGTTACAGTTTTACTCATTAAATTATGACTAAACAGTTTTATTTCTTAATTGGTTAGCATGGGTGAACTAAAAATATAACATCGTTAAAAATGTAAAAAAGTACTTATTTTTACATTTTAAATATTTATAGTGTAAGATGTCATGCACCTATAACTTAATAATTAAAGTTACACAATTTCTTTCTTTGTGAGTAACGCCTATTTATTATTTACTGTTTGAGTGGGCGTGACTGAGTATTGTAGTATGGTTGTTTTGTTGCAGGGTATGGCATGGAATGCAGTTATTTCATGAAAGGTAATGATGACTGATGAACCCTCCTCATTTTTATTATTTTTTCACTATTTCCTCTCTCTCTCTCTCATATATATATATATATATATATATATATATATATATATATATATATATATATATATATATATATTATATATATATATATATATATATATATATATATATATATATTTTATATATATATATATATATATATATATATATAATAATTTTTTTTTAATAATTTTTTTTTTTCAATTGAGAAGATGAATTTATGAAAAAGTTCAAAGATTATCATGGCCAAGTTTTGATCCTGAGATTTGTGGGTTATGCGCCCACCACGCTTTCATTGTGCCACTCTAATTCAATCCATTGAGTATAATTGTTTCGTTATATTTATTTCTAAATTTTCAAATTGATCACCTATAGCTCTTTGACTATCAAATTATTACCATCTGTGGTCAAAGTTAACCATTTTTGGTCCTTCAAATTTCAAAATTTAACATATTGTAGTCCTCCTGGAAGGACCATGAGTGGTTAAAATTTGATAGTTGAAGGACCATAAGTTGTTAACTTTGACCATAAATGGTAACAATTTGAAAGTCGAAGGATCACGGGTGGTCAATTTAAAAGTTTATTACTAAATGCGATAAAATCACTATACTTGGAGGACCCTATATGGTATTAACTCGATTAATTTCAGTCTTTTTCTCTCTCTAAATGAACCTTGTTAGGTTTGTAGGTCAAGAAATTTTTGAGCATTATATTGAGAGAGTTATTTGAATGGTTATGGCTTCAATTTTTCTTGAAAGTTATTTAGATATTTTGTTGTACTTGGGCAAGTTAACTATCACAATCACAAACAGACAAAAATGAAAAAAAAAATGTTTTTCTAATTTTAGACTTTAAAATGTTCAAATATAAATCAGTATTGTTGGTCAGAGTAATCGTGAACTTTTTTCTCTTAAGAGATGTCAGGAGTTAAAAACTTCACATCGTATAAAAAAACAATATTACTAGCATTTTATCCTTTAATTAGACTGATTTGAAATACCTATAAATAAAACTTACTTAAGACATTTCGTGATCTAAAGGAAAAAAAAAAAAAAAAAAGGTCAAATGTAATTAATTAGGCAAAGGAACGGATGAACAAACATTGTACTGAACTCAAGGCATCCGTCACCTGTTCCAAGTTCCACCTGTCCTCTATTACTTCACAGCTGACCAACCATACCAGTTGATTTTTTAATTGTAACAAACTTTTTATTTTAAAATATTATAGTAAAACTGTCCAAAAGTAGTCCATCTATTCCAATCTATCCCAATTATTAAAAAAAAAACTTTTTACAATGTCTAAATTATAGTTTTTACTTTTTAGGAGTGTTTGAAAATCTGAAAAATAATTTTTAAAAATTATTTTTTGGCTTAACAGTATTTGACAAAGAGAAAAATGTAAGGTTAATGGAAAACAAAGCCTTGTTCAATAGAAAATGACCAAGATTTCAAGAAAATGACTTCCTTTTTTTTTTATTTTTTATTTAGGGAAAGTCATTTTCTAACCTATCCTTCTCCATAGTCCATCCGCCTCATCTGAAATGGTTTCCGGCTGTGGACGAAAACTCATAGCCGTAAACTTCCAGAAACCAGTCCACCAAACTGGAGGCCAACGGGTTTCTACCCCTATTTTGTTTGTGAATTCTAATAATGCTAATACAGAGTAGAACTTGTGTATATTGTTTGTGAATTTTGAAATTTAGATTTTTACATTTGGACTTTGATGATATTGTTTGTGATTTTCCTGCTCATTTTTTTGAAAAATGAACAAACACACGAAGACAGTTTTTTGTTGTGCTCCCAAACACCGAAAATAACAATGTTTTTTGGAAAATGATTTATTTTTTAGAAAATATTTTCCAAAAATCATTTTACTGCTTCCCAAACGAACTCTTAATTTGTATTGGTTAACATAGGCAACTCCAACACTAAAAAATATATTTTATTTCAATTAAAAGTTTAAATTGATAGTTAAACTATATATTTATGTTGAATAATTTGTACTCAGAAGAATAAATTTGAAAATAGTATCACATTTTATTTTACTAAAGTTGTACCAAGTGTAATTATTACTTATATTATAATGGTGTTATTATTATGTTGGGTAACAGTCTAACAGATGGGTAGAGTTGAAGCCATCCAAACCCTGTTCCAACTGTCCTCACTTAATTTCATATACTTCACAGAATTACAAGCTGATCCACCATGCCTGTTTACAATTTTTTTTTCATTTAATTTTTATCTCTCTCCACAAGACTTGCTTTCCTTTTCATTTATTGCTGCTGGTAAGATTGTTGAATGACTTAAATTCAATGCATTTGCTTTTTAGTCGGTGGCAGTGTTATATTATTATAGCTTCACCCCTTTCATACATGGCAATAAATTAATATCCGTACGATCTTAAATCACTGGTTCAGTAAGTAGTATTTGAGAGAAGAGATTAAAGTCCAAATCTCAGCAGCAACAGTGTAGGGATTATTTTCAAAATGGACAGATCCTTTGTGCGCACTGACATTTAGTCATATATGTTGAGTCATTGAGTCACCGTAATTTATATCTTTTCAAATATTATATCGGGATCAGAATGTGGGGTTCCTTAAGGTTGGAGACTCAAACGGGGGAAGGGCAATAAATTTTTAAAAAATGGCATTATTATTGGTGAGTGGTAATTAATACTACTGCTATTTCTAGCCAGTAGTAGTAAGGCCACGTTCTATATGCGGCGATTCAATCATTTTAATTATACTTGATTTTTATATCTTTAATTAAAATTTTGATAATTAGACTATGAACTATTTAAATTACACCTATGGTGTGAGATAGTTGCGTGATAACCACAAGATTTTAAGTTTAACCTCTATGAAAGTTGCTTATTAGTATTCTTAGTTTGTGTTGGTCAATTATAGCCTATAGGTAATCTAAATTAGTTTATTTCATTATTGTTCTTTGTCAACTAGGATTAAAGCAGACTTCACTCAAAGTGTTGCTCGGATAGCTACTATGAGCTTTCTCGTAAATAAAAATATTGTAATCGACATCTATCTAATATTCTTGAAGATCTAGCTTAGTTGGTTTAATTAGGTTAACAACCAAGTAAGAACATAAGATGAGTGTCTTTGTCATATAAACCCTAAAAAGTTTTAGTTTTTGATATATTTATTTGTGAGTAGTTGTGGGAAAGACGCTAGCAAGTTACGGGTACGCAGTGTTCGGAATCGATTATGAAGGGCACGGATGGTCAATGGGTGCCCGTTGTTACATCAAAAGATTCGAAAATATTGTAAATGACTGCACCACCTTCTTCAAATCAATTTCTGGTAAAGCTATTGTTTATCCAAAAATGCTCTATTGATTTTATTATAATGTAATATTTGTCTATACATACTTTCTTAACTTAATGACGCATAAAGAGTCAAAATGCTATTTATACGTCTTTAAATATTTAATTTCGTCACAAACTATTTAATGTATTAATTGTTTCATCATATATGGGTAAGCTGAAGTTGTGTTGTTGTGTTGAATTTTAGCGCAACCGGAATACAGAGAGAAGAGAAGATTTCTATATGGAGAATCAATGGGAGGGGCGGTGGCTCTCCTAATACACAAGAAGGATCCTTCTTTCTGGCATGGTGGAATTTTGGTTGCTCCTATGTGTAAGGTACAATTAATCAACGATGTGATAACGTATTTAATTGTATATTTCAATTTTATAAAATTAAACGCTTTAATGAATTTGCGGGCAGATATCAGAGAAGGTGAAGCCACATCCATTGATAATAAGCTTGCTAACCAAGGTGGAAGACGTCATTCCCAAATGGAAGATAGTCCCCACAAAAGACGTCATCGATTTAGCTTTCAAGGACCCTGTCAAACGAGAAGAGGTGACCCATCCACTTCAAATACTCCGTATATAATTGGTTTAGTTATCAATTAAGAAACATTATTATATTGTGTTGGGTTCCAGTTTAGTGTCATCTGCAATCGGACTGTAGTACTGACTACTACGCAAGTATAAAGAAATAAATTTACACTTGCGTTGTACGTGTTAGGAGGCGAAAAGAGGGCTGAGTCTAGCATCTTGCTACCATATCAAGCTGAATTGCATATCGTATTATTGCATACATTATTTCTACCCTTTCACGAATCTTATGGGGCAGAGGTCACTAAAGGGTCTAATCTATCAATTGGTGATTAGGGGTTGTTGGGCGAAGGCTGGTGAAGAGGCAAATCCAGCACCAACCTATTTCTAGAAAATGTGATGACGGTCTATAATAAGAAACTAAAGTTATCCCGACCTTCAGTACTATATAGTTACAACTTTTATTAGCATAGTGGTAAATGTTTGATGTTAATATATGTTGAGTCGTAGATTCGAAGCAACAAGTTGATCTACCAACACAAGCCCAAGCTGAAAACGGCTCTAGAAATGCTAAGAACTAGCATGAACCTTGAGGAAAGTTTGCATGAGGTACAACTCCATATCCTCCCCTACATGCATGTTTTCATCATACCATGCCCAGAAATTAAAATATTTGACTGCTTTTGTCAGATTACGCTCCCATTTTTCGTGTTGCACGGGGAAGCGGATACGGTGACTGATCCAGAGATTAGCAAGGCCTTGTATGAACAAGCCAGCAGTGAAGACAAGACCATAAAATTGTACCCAGGAATGTGGCACGGTTTGACATCTGGGGAGCCTGATGAGAACATTGAGGTTGTCTTCTCCGATATCATTTCATGGCTTGACAAGCGGTCTGTAGAATCTGCAGATACTAGTTTCCAAGGAAACAACAACCTTAGCGTTCCCGACGAGATGATGATCGCCAAAATGGCATCTCCCGGCCGTTCAATGAAGGCCCAGAAACTGAGTACAACACATCGTGGGAATTATTTATGTGGGTGGAAGGGCCGTCGCTTCCACCACTACGATTCTGATCTGCAGTGTAATAATTAAACATTAAACATAAACCTAAAACCTCTACTATTATCCTGCACAATGTTAATCGTGGTTACGTTGTTTTTGAAGGAAATGGAATAACAAAAACCACCTAAATTTATCCTAGTTATAATCCGTTGTTTTGTGGTTTTAATTTGCATGAAGACCTGCAGAGTTATACAGTGTTTTTGTTACCAGCGGAGTGAGAGGCCGTGTTTCATCAATCATGGTATTTGGTATAAATCAAACAATAACCTCAGGTACCTAGTCTAATACTCTGATCAAACGTAGTCAAATTTATACCACAAATACAAGGGTGTATTCAATTAAGACTTTCATAACAAAAAAAAAAAAACAAATTGACTTTTAAAATAATATATGTTTATACATTTTAAATGGTTTTTTATAAAATTTTGTAGACTTTTGTAGAATCTGTATGAGTCAACAAAAGTTTATATTTATATTTATAAACTTTTAATGATTTTTATAGATTGTCAAATATGCCCCAAAATTTCATACGAAAAGTCAATTAAGTCTCCAAACTAATTTTAAAAGTAACGATAATTGAGCACAAGTCATCACTTTAGTGCATTAAAGTCCAAAAATCAGTTAGTGACTTGTAATAGCAGGTCACTAGGGTTTCGGCGATGCTCCGATTACCTCCGGGAGAAACCTAACGACCGACAACCGACAAATGGTCGCCGGTCACCTTTTTCGATCGATTGAGAAGGAGAAGGCGTGACCCATTGGTCGCTTTTTTGCATCGGACAAAGCGACTTGTTGGTCGCCTTCTTCAAAGAAGGCAATCGAAGACTCCCCCCCCTCCCCACTGAGGTAGTTGGAACATCGTCGGAACTCTAGCAACCTGCTATTATAGGTCACTATCCGATTTTAAGTTTTGATGTACTAAAATGATATTTAATGTGTTTAATTACACATTTTAAAAGTTTAATGACCTAATTGACTTTTCATATAAAGTTCGAGAGTGTATTTAATCATTTAATGTACCATTTAAAAATATACAAAAGTTATTAAAACTCTAAATTTACTGGACCAGTAAAACAGATGGGCGAGTAACTGATTTTGCATTATAATTAAAAGCTCGCAAATTATGTCATGGAAACGTGTTCACCATGCTTTGTGAACACGTTCCAAAATAGCGTCTTTTTTACAGGGAAAAAACAAAATTTAGTTAATGTGCTCTTAACGATGTTTTGCATTCTATGTTCAGATTATGAATTTACATTTATTAAATTATGAATTTTCTGTTATGAGATTATGAATTTACAGTTATGTAATTATGAATTTTCTGTAAATTCATAATCTCATAACTGAAAATTCATAATTTCATAACTGCACATTCATAAATCCATGCATGTACATTCATAATTTATGAGTGTTGAAGAAGCTTGCGCGAATGGGAAGTGAAACCGCGAATTGTGAAAATAAAGAAGAAAAGTCGTGCTATTAACTAAAAAAGAAAAAAATTGGTGAAGATAACGGTGCCACTTACGAACACCGTTATCGTTTGGGACTGTGTTCACCATCCTGGTGAACACGGTTCCATGGCATAACGATTGATAAAAGCTGTAATGGGCTGATGACTTTAAGCCCAATATAGTTTTGCATAAGGCCCACTGAGATGTTTCTAATCTCATCGCTTTCCCTCTACTCTAGTCTCGAAGACTAAGAAGAGCCGTTTACAATCGCGCTCCTCTTCAATTTGACGATTCCAAAACCCTAATCCGTAAAACCCTCTATTCTGTAAGTTTCGCTCTCGATTTTGCTCTAAAGTTCGGTCGGTTTCTGCTTTTCGATCTATCTTCCGAAAATTATAGTTGTTATAAACCGTGCTCTGATTCTTCTTGCAGTTTTTACCTTCGGAGTCCTCCTATTCGATCCAAGATGAGGTTAGTTGATCTGTTAACTCTAACTCCATTTTTTTTTTCCTTCTTCTTAAAAGTGTTGATATTGATGGGTATTCTTTCCGTAGGTCGTATTGAAATTCTATACACTATATGATTTATGAGAAACAGTTTTCTTTAGCATAATCTTAAACTTTAAACCATAACCAGGGGAAACCACTTTTTTCTTACTGAATGGAGAAGCTGGTGTCTTTAGAAATTTGGGTTTACAGTTTCCTAATTATTCCAGATAGACGTCTAATGGCATCATGGATGGTTACTTCAATGATCAAGTGTGAGGAAGTCATTCACATATTCTGACATTGTATTGTTGTAACTCATTTAGCACATAAAAACTAACTCTAGGAGTTATTTATTTATTTATTTATTTATTCATTCATTTTTATGTAATCTTGATTACTAATTGTTTATTTTTTTTATATATTTTTTTCTTGATATATGCAGTCGGCCCATGGAAGAGGATGCCCCTGTAAGTTAGCCTTCTGTTTTCATGATTTGTTTTTATTATGCCATCTTTACTAATTACTTTTCGGTTATCTTCCAATCATGTTTTCAGTTTTCCTAATGATTTTGCCTGTAGAGTAGTTCTTTATTAAGCATACTAATGTATTCTTCCTTTTATTTATGTAATTGATCTATTTATTTGTTTTTTTGTGAACAAATGTTTTGGATTGTGGGATGGTTGAATTTTATTCCATTCTGTATTGTTCCTGACAGGCGAAGAATGAGGAAGAGGAATTCAACACTGGCCCACTTTCTGTTCTTATGATGAGTGTTAGAAACAACACTCAGGTATCTGATTTCATAGTGATCTAAAACCCTCTACATCTCACTCAATAAAAAAACATACATGTGTCAAAGTGTTTGCAGGCTGGTATATAATTACAGCTGAACCTTAACTGCTAGATTAAGCACATATATGATATGAAATAGTGCATTTGGAAATAAAAATATCCGAGTTGCATATGTTTCTAACTTTATTTCTGGCCCTCAGGTTCTCATAAATTGCCGTAACAACAGAAAGCTTCTGGGCCGTGTCAGGGCTTTTGATCGTCACTGCAATATGGTGCTGGAAAATGTTAGAGAGATGTGGACTGAGGTTAGTTCCTTGGACTGATTTAGATGTTGTGAAACATTACTGGTTAGAACTTTGCCCATTTATTATATTTTTTGACTTCACCTTTAGGTTCCAAAGACTGGCAAAGGGAAAAAGAAAGCACTACCTGTTAACAAGGACAGGTTTATTAGCAAGATGTTCCTTCGTGGAGATTCAGTGATCATTGTTCTCAGAAATCCTAAATAGAAGGTATTTTTTTATTGTTCTCGAATCTCGATATCATTTTTTATTTTTGAAATGTGGCACTACCCTTTTCATATCTCTGCTAGATCAACTAATGTTAATGAAATGAAAATTGGGTTGGTTGTTAGCATGGAGAGTGCCTTGTAGATGTGTTTTTGTGGAGAAATACAACCATAAACTTTTACCTTTTGAGATCTTTATTTGTGCTTTAGTAGTTAGTACTTTTTTTTTTTGGGGGGGGGGGGGGGGGGGGTGGGTTAAGTCATAAGGTGTCTGAGCAGGCCCTAATTGTAGGAGCACCTTTAATCCTGTACCATACTCAGATTAATCCCCATTCGCTCCGGGCCGGCCCAATTAAGGGGCAAAGTGCTGGTCAGATTGGTAAATGTAATAACCTGATTGTGTACCTGTATTCCGTATGGATTTGTGCCTTGTCTGAATCATTTTGTTGGAAGGCAGACCAATTTTTTCAAGCATATTTGCTTCTTGTGCAATGTCCTAAAACTTAGTTCTTCTACATCTTTGTGACACTGTTGTTTGTTCATGATAATCACATTTAGGTGAGTACTTGGTATAAGTTTGTAATGCCTTTCTACTATGCAGGTAACTACTGCAACAATATTTCTCTTGGCACTGGCCCCCGCATAGGAGCAATATGGCATTTTGGTTTAATGTGGACTCATTGTATGATATTTTAGAGCTGACTTTTCCTTATAATGTACTACTAGTCTTGCTATTGCTGCTATGTGTATTGTTCTTAGTTGAAGAATTTGTCGGGATGTTTGTTAGATTTGTGAGGGAGATTTTGTAATCATGCTTAAGTGAATCAAATGTGTATCAGTTTGTGGAGCTTTTGTATTTTGGAAAAGGGTTCATATTAGCCACTTAATTAGTTAACTACCCGTGAAAATGTTGTTGGAAAAAAAGTGCAATTAGTTCCTTAACAAATAACAAGTCAAATTCATGTAATCTGTCCAACTTAATTTTTAAACATTTGCGTTGAGCAAGAGATTATGCTGGTACATGAAAGGTGAACATGGCCAAACGACGAGAAAAAGTCTGCCCAAGCAAAAAGGATCGTTAGTGGATCAAAGACATGGAGATTAGTTAGCGAGAGGTCAGGAGAGTGTTGTCCCGATCTTCACCCTCTTGAATAGACTGTTAGTTGAGGTATTTGATTACATTCAATCGTGCAATATGGTCCAGTAACCAGAATCAAGTTGAGATGGGGAAGATAAGTCCAAATATTGCGCCTTTCACCGGGTTAGGGAACATGATATTGAAGATACAAAGTTAATTCTGGCTCAATTTGTGACGAAGGATTAGGAGAAGAAATCTTGGAAGAAAGTTTTTAAGAAAAGCAATAAAGACACTAAGTCAAAGGAGTCGGAGCATGATAGTCATCGACCACCTCCCTTGTTTAGGAAGTAGGTTATACATGTTATCTTCGGAGGTTTGGAGGGCGCGCTTATCCATAATAGCGGCAACAGTGATCACATGAATTGCAATTCCCCCACTTTCATGGAATTAAAATCTTATGTCCCCCTGTGATTTTAATTCTTGGGATTTTAGGGAAAAAAAAGAAGATAGTAATGAGACAAAATTACCCCTCCCTTTTTTAACCTAAATTTAATACCACAACAACAATGGACATTTTGGACTTTATACTACATATTCCATTTCAATTCCCATGTATACCAAACATTGGAATTAAAATTCCCAGTAATTCTATTCCTGTAAACCAAACACTAGAATTTAAATTCTCACTTTATTCCCAGTAATTTTCTCCCACATAATTGTAATTTCTTTACCACGTAATTCCCACTTTCAACCAAACGCCCTGTTAGTGTTTAGGATACACTTTACTGGGATTGGGCTTGGATAATAAATCTATTTTAAAAAATAAAA